AGAAGGAAACTTGGCAAGCTCTTTAGAATATGAAGCTTTAAGTTGAGCATGAGACTCGGTGAGTTTGATGAGCTCACTCTTAATGACCCTTGAGCCATTTTCGAGGTGCCTAAAGTCCTCAAGGAGTTTAGCATGCGCAACTTCAAGCTTCTTATTTTTAGTTTCAAAAACATTGGCCACCTCAAGAGCTCTATCATGAGATTCCTTCACTCTAGATAATTCTAGAGCAAAAGTCTCCTCAAGAGATTCCTTGGCGGTTTGTTCAAGTTTGAGAGCTTGGGAGAGGTTCGTAATCTCATTAGCGTAATCAAGCTCATGACCTTCTATTTTATCAATGATGACCTCATGCTCCTCAAGGCGAGATTCCAACTCATCAATATATTTCTTGCCCTCAATAGCAATAGACATGATTTCCATGAAGTTGGAACGAGCAATTTTATTCTTAAGAAGAGTTTTAAAAATCATTTCCCCCTTAATTTTGAAGGAGGCAACATTATCATTCTCTTCATCATAATCAACTTCATCATCATTCTTGCCATCATCAATATCATCACAAGATATATTGGTATTCAAAGTGAGAGGTGCCTTTGAAGCCCTGGCCATAAGGCAAACTGCAATAGATGATGATGTAGGATCCCTTGAAGCACCATTCAAGACCACATCTTGTTCCATGGGGTGTTGGGTTTCCTCTACATTGTTAGCACAACAATTCTAGGAAATAGATGCATTTTTATCATGGCAACAAGACATAGTAACCATATCATCATGAGATTTAGTCAAGCAATTTCTACAAGATATGCAAGGACTATCAACACAAGCATGTGAAACATTTGGAGTGCTCGAAGTGCTAAAGTCCAAAGATGAAGCATTGCAATAAGAAAGTGATGAAGGATTATCAACACTAAGCCTACTATCATCATTGCAATGAACACCACTACTCACCACATCATTACCTTGTGGCAAACCACATGTAGGTGAAGTAGAAGAAGTTGAGAACACAACACGGTCGGAGGTGGAGGGAGAACAATCATCCCCACAAAACTTGGACACGCCATATGTATCTTGAAGCTTTGTCCACAACTCATGAGCATCCCGGAACGGCATGAGTTGAAATATAACTACATTGCTCAAAGCATCAAAAAGCACATTAGAAGCTTGAGCATTGAGATAATATTTTTCTCATCCTCTAAAGATAATCTTTGGGGGTCCTTTGGAGGAGAAAAAACCCATATCTACAATTCTCTCTAAATTTGGGTCCATGACCCTAAAGAGATTAAGCATGCGAATTACCCAAACATCAAAATTTGTGCCATCAAAACTAAGAGTGTTAGAGAATCCTAATCCCCTAGTCGACATCTTTACTCTCTAGGCGGTTAAGCCTAAACACGAGAGACAAGGCTTTGATACCAATTGAAAGAACGAGGATGTCGCCTAGAGGGGGGGTGAATAGGCGCTTTAAAATAATTACAGTTTAGGCTTGAACAAATGCGGAATAAACCTAGCAGTTAATTTGTCAAGTACAAAACCTACAACAACTAGGCTCACCTATGTGCACCAACAACTTATGCTAAGCAAGATAAACAACAAAGTGATAGCAAGATATATGACAAAAAACAATATGGCCATCACAAATTAAAGTGCATAAGTAAAGGGCTCGGGTAAGAGATAACCGAGGCACGCGGAGACGACGATGCATCCCAAAGTTCACACCCTTGCGAATACTAATCTCCATTTGGAGCAGTGTGGAGGCACAATGCTCCCCAAGAAGCCACTAGGGCCACCGTAATCTCCTCACGCCCTCGCACAATGCAAGATGTCGTGATTCCACTAAGGGACCCTTGAGGGCGGTCATCGAACCCGTACAAATGGCAACCCTTGGGGGCGGTCACCGAACCCGTACACTTTGGCAACCCTTGGGGGCGGTCACCGAACCCGTACACTTTGGCAACCCTTGGGGGCGGTCACCAGTACCCGTCAAATTGCTCGGGGTGATCTCCACAACCTAATTGGAGACCCCAACGCTTTTCCGGAGCTTTACACCATAATGATTGAGCTCCGAACACCCCCCCTCTAGGCGACATCCTCGTTCTTTCAATTGGGTAGCGGTACTACCGCTAAGGGTAGCAGTACTACTGCTTACGAGCGGTACTAAAAAATTACATCCGTGCCTACCACCATTGGACTTATGACGATTTTTTGGTCCGGAGCGGAAGTAGTCACAGAAGTAGCCGCGGTAGTACCGCTCCCATGGGCGGTAGTACCGCTACAGCCTTCTTAAGGACACCAAAACTGACACAACTTTTGCAAACGGACTCCGAATTCAACGAAACCAAGTTTGTTGGAAAGCTAGCGACAAGGCTAACACAAACTTGATAGAAATAAAAAAACAAATTAGAAAAGGCCCATAAGAAAATGGTGAGAACCCTTCCTCGAAAAAGACTGGTAAAACCTCCAACACCGAAAATGCAATAGAAAAAGCATGTGAACTCCGTTTTCGATGAACTCGAGCTTGTCAAGAAGATAACCATAAGCTCCAAATCTCACAAGGAGAAAACTAAACAAGAACCAAGAAAGATGATGCAAGCATGCAATGGTTTGAGCTCTCTACGAACGATACGATCAAGCTACTCACTTGAGAGCCCCCCTTGATAGTACGACAAACGATCTTATAACCCGGTCTCCAAACTACCACCATGAGACCGGTAAAATAGAGAACCTATCAAGGACAAACCTTTGCCTCGCACAAAGTCCACTTGAGCTAGATATAGACGATCTTGACTTCCTCAAGTAGGATCACCTTTCTTGATTGTGTTGGCGACGACGGCTCCGGACGCAGGACGGCGGCGGCGACGACAACGACGACGACGGCGGCGGCGACTACACCCAGTTCTACAGGCTCCTCGGCATGTAAAAGGCGGGCGGCAGCAGCGGCGTAGTAGGTGTAGTTTGTTTTCTTTTTTTTTTGTACAATTTTGAATGAAATCGTCGAGTTGTGACGTGTTTGTACAAATTTGAATCAAATCGTTGAGTTTGCGCCGATTTGGGGGAGACCTGGGGACGGTGACTGGAAACGCAATCGCTCCCACGCTGAAAGTAAACGCCGATTCGGCCCCAGAGGGCGCTTTTTCAGCGTCCTGGGGCCGAACGGGTGGAGATGCTCTTAGCTCGTCAGCCCGTCCGATCGTCCTTGATGTGTCCATTAGGGATGCAAATTTGAATATTTAGATACCCTCCGATCCTATTTAGTTCAACCAGCTGAACAAATTTTGCATAATTCGAACTTTAAAGAGTTATTGAGTCCATTTGGTTGAACTAAGTAGGTTTACCTAAAATTTCAAATTTGCATCCCTGGTGTCCATCCTGCGCTGATGCGTGCGTTTCCCCTTCTTTTTCATCTGAGTTTTGTTAGTGTTTTCCCGGGGGGAAAAAGAGTTTTGTTAGTGTCTTCGTCCTGCTTCGTCACGAGTTGCCTACCAGAGAGCCAGGTGTAGGTCCTGCTCCGTCGTGAGTTGCCTACCAGAGAGCTAGGTGCGTTTCTCTGAATGCCGCGAGGTGTTCACTGAAACCCTATATGTGTCGTTAAGTTCAGTTATCCGGGTCTCCAACAATAAGCATCGACGGCTGGGATGTCTCCGGTTGCTTGCTTCTACCCGCGTCTTACAATTTCAGTTAGTCAGACATTCTCAAGGGTTTCTTTTTTTTCGATAAAAAACATTCTCAAGTTTGTCCATTATATTTAAAAAAACAAGATCGATCAGATGCAATTGAAATTACTAGATATATTAAATTATACTCGGTTTTGAGATACGATTATTTTGTAATCCAACATAAAGACACAGACACACGAACATAGGCGAACTACGACAAAATCTGAGCAAATCCACCAAAAGACAGATCCGCCGGAAGCACACCTCCACACGTCCACCGACAATACCAGACGCACCACCAAAACGGGGACTAGATGGGGAGAACCTTACTCCATCTTTAGGGAGCCGCCGCCATCTCGTCTTCCTAAGTGGGACACAACCTTAACAAAACTCGAAGGAACATCTAAAGACGGAGCCTAGCCCTCCCGTCGGCAAGGACCGGGGTCCACCGCGCCGCCATGGCCCTAAGGCCACCGGACACGAGACGGACCGGCGACGGCAGCGGCGGAAGACAGAGAAAACCTAGCCTTTTCTTGGGTATTGTATATATTATTTGATAGTACTAAATCTTCTTATGAGTGATGTAAGCCCTAGGCTAGATGGATATCGACGACCATATACACAATTTTCACGTACGATATTTCCCCCTTTTTTGTAATTTTCACATGTACACAACTGCACAATTATATATAATGTGTGTGAACAGCAATGCAAGGGATATTGTGACCAGATGAGCCATTGACGTAGGTGGTAAGATTGGACAAGGGAGGCAGAGATAGTGGGTAATAGGTATATGTGATACACAACTGACGCGAACAACTAAAATGTGTGTGCCCCCGTTCCAACGCACAGGCTAGCTAGTAGTAGGAAATAAAAGTTGAGTGGTCGGTCAACTAACTCACTTTATATAGAAATATACAATGATGGCAGATGCCCTTTATTAGCTGATAATGCGCTCGACAGCGCATCTTAGATGTTTGATTACAAAAGTAACATGATAAGATATACATAAGAGACCATCAGGGTGAGATGCATCTAGTTTCTGTGTGTACTTCTGACGTCTTCCCAGGAAGACCTCCATGAAAATACCGTGGTCCCAAATATATTTGCACAATCTGGTCTCTAAACATGACCACGCCAAGTCCTGCAAACTGCGATATAAAGATCCTGTTAATTAATGACAGATTTGAGGCACAGACACATAGTTGTAACAACCATGTAAAGTAATTTCACCAAAATTACAGTTTTCGTGCTTTGCGCTCCTTGAGAGTGGTTTAATTTGCATGTTTGCTGTATGAGACAAAACAACAGTTTGACCCTGATTCAAAGAATAAAAGATGGGCAAGTACCTAATTACATAGCCATCTCAGCTTGTAAAGCTGCCAGCTCATCGTCTTCAGTTTTACTGCTCTGCGCAGTGGGCCGACTCGACTGCTGAGGTACACGCGCTGGAGCAGTCATAGGAGCACTTGTGGTAGGTGCTAGTAGCTGTGCCTCCAACTCCTCACCCTCCAAATCCGCAAGTTCAGCTTCCAGCTCATCCTATCCAATGCAGTAAGAGGTTAGATTTATTTGGTTTGGTGAATGCATGCACATCTGAGAGATAAGAGACAGAGAGACATACTTCATCGAAATCACTTGCTGCTCCCATAGGCGCAGATAGTAGATCCTGGATCTGCCGCATGTTCTCCATGTTGTCATTAATTTCGTCCATGGTTTTGTCAACATCATCAATATTTCTGGAAAAGAAACACACTTATATGATGAGACTCGAGAAACAAATAAAATTATACGCCGTATCTGCGGACCGAGAAGCAATCGCTAAAATAAAAGAAGCAAAAGAGAGGTGTAAAAGCATTCCATCCCTATTGCTCAATGACAACAATTGTAATACTTGAAACTTTATTTAAACTGACCAGCTTTTAGGCACTCCTATTACAACGAAAAGCATTAGCAATCTGACATGTATGCTGTGTTCTTCTTCTACTGAAAGCCTTGCAGAATCCTACTACTGCATATAATATTTATTTGCTATTGATGCAAAAACTTGGGAGCATATGAAGCTGCATGTATTCTATGGTGTTCTGTATAAATTTTAATCTATGAAACAACAAATTGTCAGCGTTTAAGTGGACATAAACTCTTAACTTCTACCATGCAAGCTCTTTAAAGACTCGTTTGCACTAAACATTTATTATTGTACCACCTATATTAAAAAAAATCATCTGTTAAGTCACTAGACCTGCATTGTTGTACTCCACCATTTAAGCCAATAAGCAAGAAATTAGATGAAATTCACTGGAAGTACAAAATAAGATGATAAGTCCAATCTAACAGAATGTGCTACCTAAGCTACCAGCAAATGTTACCTGTTAGCAAAGTACTAATAAAAAACAGTTGATTTAGAAACAAAAGATAATTAAATAACTCAGATGCAAGATATTTGACTTCATGAGAAGTAATACTTATTGTTACATACGTTGATTTGTGCATAGCTTTCATTGCTGATGCTCCGGTTCTCAATGCATCCACAGTCTCTGTTGTAGCTTTTGCACCTTCCAGCATTATCATCTGCAATAAGAAAAGCCATAGAAAGTAATATGGTGAATATTAAATCAGACTATCTGACTAATAAGACCTAGAACTCTAGAAGGAAAATCAAACTACATTGTCCTTTGAGACTTCACCTGATCATGAATCCTCAATTGGAAATTCCCAAGCTGCTCCACCTGTTGCTCATATAATCTCTTCCTCTTCAGACATTGTATTGCAGCTGACAAAGAAAAGAAAAATCATAGCTATTAGTTAATCCATTCTCTGTACCAGAATTCATTAGCTTTGGAAGAAAGAAAAATCGTGCCATGCGGCAACACTACACAGTATGCAGCAGATATCATAAATGGCTGAATGAAAAAGGACAGACCCAGTGCATAGAAGCTCCCACACAAGGTGGGGTCTGGGGAGGGATTATAGGAACCTAGTCTTACCCCTGCAAAGTGCAATGCAGAGAGGCTGGTTCGAACCCAGGACCTCTTGGCACAAGTGGGGAGGACTTCACCACTGCGCCAGGCCTGCCCCTCGGCTGAATGAAAAAGGAAAGACGAATATGTGTTTTCGACAATATCCAGAGCATACATGGAATTGTAGGAAGGAATAATATTTTCTAGGTAGGTCACTAGCAGCACAACAGCCAACAGGCATAGCTGGTGCATTTTTGCACCAACATTGAAAAGGTAGTAGAAAAAAAACTGAAAAGCACAGAAACATTATTTAGAAGTACTGTAGTAGCTAACTCGTCAAAAATAGTCTAGAAAAACAATTATAGGTGTGTTTTCATCTTCAAAGAAAAATGTAAGTCTATACTACCTCAGATGCATAATAAGTGACGCAGTTTTGAACTAACCCCAGTTCAAAACTGCGGCAATTATTTTGGATCGGAGGGAGTAATAAATAATTGAAGGAATTAATCAAATGGAAGTAACTGGTAAGGAGTGAGGTAACTAAGTATGAAGACTAGCATCATGACTGACCAGACAATCTAATAGTAGGAAACTGGGAAAATAAAAGGCAAAATAGCAGGATAGCAGCAGAAGGGGGCAAATTAGATGTACATGCTTATGAAGATACGATCATTCCAATTAAATGAATAGAACATCACAGCAATAGCCCAAAAAGAATGAAAAAACAGAGAGTTTTGAGGAAGTTGTCCTGGAAGATCAATATATTTCTTGAAGCTGATATAGGATACCTTTTTTGTTCTTGGCTTTGGTGAACGCCTTTGCCTTCTCAACTTCAAGATTCGCCTTCTTCATTAGTAAATTTTCCTTCTTTTCTAACATTTCAAGAGTCTGAAGCATATTAAGAAAGTTAGTTTGCAGATACAAACTGTATCAAAATGAGAGCATTATAACCACTATTACATGTCATGGAAAAAACTTATTCCTGAAAGAATGCAAGTTACATTAAAACTTATCCAAGCAATATTGAGTACCTAAGCTATCCAATTATGAGTTATACAGAGTTAAATTTCACTTGCCAGATTATCCGACATTTGAATTTAATCCTTCTATGCACTGAATGATTAAGAGGGATTTCAGAATCCAGAGGACTAAGAAGACAGCAGTTATGTACATAGAACCCCCTTGGTCTTATTGTCTACTTTTCTTGTTTTGGAAGTGGGTACTTGCAGCACTGAAAAGGATGCAGTGAAACAACAAGCATGTCAAAAATCTATGTTTCAATCTCCCATTCCTTTGAACCAACGAACTGAAACTTTTTGTAACTCTAACTAGTTTATAGCGTAATCAACCTCCCATGGTATTTCATTGATTAAAACCATCCGTCCTGACAAGTGCTTAACTGCTCATTGAATCAGAATCTCTTTACACCGCTCACTCTTGCATCATGCGACGGCATATTTTCCTTTCTTCGTATCGCCACCAACCACATGACTATATATCCCCCTTCACTCCTAATTATCACAAAGTTAAGGTGTAGCTAACTTCGGTATCTTAGTATAAAAACTCTCTAATCCGTCTGCCCACCGATTACCAGTACGACAGCATCCCAGATAGGTGACACACATCATGAAGCTCCCATGCAGTAATGAGAAGTCACAACATTCATGTATGCACAGAGCCTACACTAAATCACCAGACGATAAACTTCTACACTGAACTACCATACTACGGTGGCAAATGGCAA